CAGCCCAAAATTGACAAACAAAATGGACGCCGTTCGTTCTCAAATAGCATAAAAATATGGTATATCAAGGTTGTCGACCCTATAGAGGTCACAATTTTGATCCGATTTTGTTGAAACTTGAAATTTAAGTTTATAACCCAAAGATCTCGGTTCCTTTCGATATTCGCGCATATCGGACTGTAACTTCCTGAATTATGGCCCCTGATTGTACAAAAAATCACGTTTTTAGCTTGTGGACCCTATAGAGGTCATAATTTTTATCCGATTTAAAAAACTGTATTATTATATCACTGTTGCACCCTAAGGATGGCTGAATTCGAATTTCGTGTAAATCAACCCAAAATTGACAGACAAAGGATGGCTGAATTCAAATTTCGTGAAATTCAGCCCAAAATTGACAGACAAAATGGCCGCCGTTCGTTCTCAAATAGCGTAAAAATATGGTATATCAAGGTTGTGGACCCTATAGAGGTCACAATTTTGATCCGATTTTGTTGAAACTTGAAATGTAAGTTTATAACACAAAGATCTCGGTTCCTGTCGATATTCGCGCATATTGAATTGTAATTTCCTGAATTATGGCCCTTGATAGTAGGAAAAATCATTTTCTTGTTAGCTTGTTCTCTATCCATCTCTCGAAAATGTGGGCGTATCTCTATCGAGAGTCCATTCGATAGTCGTGTGGACGCTCTAGAGGCTAAAGTTAATATCCGATTTACTTTAAATTTATGCACAGTGTTTAAGGTCATGAGATGAAGAAGCCTATTGATTTTCAGCGATTTCCGATAATTTTGCCAGAGTTATGGCCCTTGATCACTTCAAAAAATCTTGTGGACGCTCTAGAGGCTAAAGTTAATATCCGTTTTCCTTTAAATTTATACACAATGTTTAAGGTCATGAGACGAAGAAGCCTATTGATTTTCAGCAATTTCAGATAATTACTGCCAGAGTTATGGTCCTTGATCACTTTCAAAAATCTTGTGGACTTTGGCAATCTCCTCATCATAATTTTGTAGGGGGTTGACCATTTAGATTTTTTGCTACACGGATTTGAAGTTGACTGGGGTGAACGCTCTAGAGGCTAAAGTTAATATCCGATTGACATTAAATTTATACACAATGTTTAAGATCATGAGACGAAGAAGCCTATTGATTTTCAGCGATTTTCGATAATTACTGCCAGTGTTATGGCCCTTGATCACATTGAAAAATCTTGTGGACGCTGTAGAAGCTAAAGTTAATATCCAATTGACTTTAAATTTATACACAGTGTTTAAGGTCATGAGACGAAGAAGCCTATTGATTTTCCGCGATTTCTGATAAGTACTGCCAGTGTTATGGCCCTTGATCACTTCAAAAAATCTTGTAAATGCTGTAGAGGCTACAGTTAATATCCGATTGACTTTAAATTTATACAGAGTGTTTGAGGTCATGAAACGAAGAATCATATTGATTTTCAACGATTTCCGATAATTACTGCCCAAGTTATGGCCCTTGATCACTTTGAAAAATCTTGTGACGCTCTAGAGGCTAAAGTTATCATCCGATTGACTTCAGATTGATACACAGAGTTTAAGGTCTTGAGACGAACAAGTATATTGATTTTCAATGAATTTTTATGACTTGAACAACTAAATCCATGATGTTAAAAGTTTCGTATACTAAACATTAGCATGGGCAGAACTTTATAAAAACCAAACAAATTCTAATGGTTTTCTGATAATTACTTAATTAGTTGTTACTCTTAATCACATTTTAATGTATTATAAATTTTTAATTACCGAAAAAAGTAAAAATATGCGACAACTCTTGTTGACGTATGTTTGGTTGCCTGGCAACCTATCGTTACGAAAAGGTTACACATTCAGTTAGCTAACCTAATTATGATTCTAACGATGTATAATATGTATTGAGTTATTGAAATTTAATTTTCGATATTTTGACATTTTTGAATTTTTGGCACTTTTGAACATAGGATTTTTCTCAGGGCCATTTTATCTGATCAGATAATGTAATATATCATTACAGAGCCCTGTGGCTACCTAATTAACCAAATTGGTTATTAAAACTATCCCAACAATAATCTCCATACTGGACGTATTCAAAAAATGAAGAAAAAGGTTAAAAAAAATTAGCGCTCTTGCGAAAAACTTGATTTATCCATCAGATCTTAGCGTACCAAAAGAACTAAAGTGTCGCTGGATACTTCTAATGGTATAAGGGAGGTAAAACTGTCCAATGGATCTTTCTGAAACTTCTGGTACAGGAAGTTAAGTTCCCATACCACTTGTTAAATCTATCCCGATAATGATCCGTAAACAGGAAGTAGTGAAAAAAAATATTCGATAATTAAAAAAAAAAAAGACAGTAAAAAAATCGGTGCTCTTGCAACAATTGGGATTTTACCGTCGGGTGTGACCGGATCAAAACATCTAAAGTATCGTTTGGTAGCTCGATAAATGGGCTATTGTATGACACACTTCCTATCTGATTCCTGAAAGCCGGTTCAGTGCTGCTTGCAGGTCTAGTTATGCTTGGTAAAAGCGGTGAGACCCCAAGCAATTTTAGACCTATTTCATTCAGCGTTCGCGATACAGCTACATCATATTTATGGACCAGGATTTCTGATCGGTACTTTGAATGCATATGGCTTCTGTACCTCTTATTTGAAATTAAAGCAGCAATGATGTAATAATATATCGGACTTCCTTGTTGTGTTTCCTTTGTGATCGTAAAATAAAACTACAGGTTAGTTCGTTTCTACAGCTTTACTATTAAACTGCTTGCAAGGCTTCTATGTTCCACGTTCTCAATAAAGCATTGATGATAGCCGCTAGGAATATCAGGGTGAGTTCTGCTCAATTTCACTCAACACCCTCTTGTATAACCCCCTAATTTCTGCACGTTATAGACTGACCTACCTTATTTGGTCTATCAACCACATAGAATTTGATGGATATTTTGACAATAGTAAGGATTTTATCAAAATATCACTGTTTTGTTTTTTTAATGTATATAAAAATGTCATTTTTCTTGACTCTATAGAATGTAATATCCAATAATTAGTTAAAGGACCAAAGTATTACATTGACCAACCTTCTAGAGACACACGGACAGGAGCTCCAGAACTAGACCCGCCAAGTTTGTTAACTAATTCACCCGACGCCAACTTAAAGATTGAAATTCATATTCAACGATTCGCATGAACCTGAACCAATTGCACACTTGACACTACAGTCCCTGAAATCATCAATAAAGAAGAATTGTTAGCAGAAGAATTGTTAGCAGAAGAATTGTTAGCAGTCCATAATTGAAATCCAGGTCTATCAGAAACCAAGTAAAATATTCCTGTTAAAACCGTTACAAACTGATGATATGTATATAGATATTCAAGAAATATATGAATTGTTTGAAAATACATTTTCACCCTCTAAACTCAACCATCCGCGAAAAACTGGATGTTTATATGGTTCAAATGGCGGCCATATTGGAGTTATACTAATTATTGGAAGTATGACGTTACGACATCACGGCGACGTAATTTGGCAATGTTTTTCTGATTCTTTGGTAGCACTTTCCTATCTACCCGTAATACATTTATACCCTCCAAACTCATCCATTACCGAGATATTGGAGTTTTAAGGTGCCAATGGTGGCCATATTGGATTTATGCTAATTAATTGTTGTGGCATTGTTTTTCTAGTTCTTTGGTAGCACTTTACTACCTACTCGTAATACATTTACATTCTCCAAACTCAACCATTCCCAAGATATCGGAGTTTTAAGTTTCAATGGCGGCCATTGGATTTATGCAAATTGTTGGTCGTATGACAGTATGACGTAACAGGGACGTCATTTCGCTTTGTTTTTCTGTGCCATCTGTACCACTTTCCTATCTACCCGTAATACATTTTACATCCTCCAAACTCAACCATTCCTGAGATATTGGAGTTTTAAGATGTCAATGGTGGCCATGTTGGATTTATGCTAATTACTCGAAAACCTATCTTTTTATTTTGGCCGATTTCTGTTTGGGGGACCTTCAGGGACCCCTCTACCAGATTCCATCAAGAAAAATTCTGTTGCAATTTGTTTAGGTATCCACTCCATATGGCTTATCTTTACCCGCCTATAAGCAGAGATAAGAAATTTGATCGGCTGATACTTTGGGACACGATAACATTAGTTAGTAGAGCAATAAGCAATTTGATTGGTCGATTCTTTGGAACACAATAACTCTTCAACTCTTCTTCTAATCGAGGTAGAATGTTATAACTCCGAAGAAAGCAGGGGACTATTAAAATGAGTTCTTCCGTCTGTCTGTCTATCACACTTTTTGGGAAACAATAACTCTCTTCCTAATTGAGCTAGAATGTTCAAACTTGGTGTAGGCATTCATTAGGTGAATGCCTTGATGGAGTTTGATGATAAACATTGTCTGCTTATGGTAAGCAGAGATAAGCAATCTGATTGGTTGATGCTTTGGGGCACGATAACTTTAGTTTTAATTAAGTGAGAGTGATGAAACTCTGAGTATAGATTTATTATATCATTATTTTGACTAAGTCCGATGATGAGAATTTTCTGCGTAGGCTAAGGAGCGATAAGCAATTTGATTGGTCAAGACTTTGGAACATTACTCTGCTTTTAATTGAGGTAGAATGTTTAAACTTGATGTAGATGTTCATTAGGTGAATGTCTTGACTGAGTTCAATGATTAACATTTCGAGCTAAAGCTAAGCAGAGCTGAGAAATTTCATTGGTTGATGCTTTGGGACAAGATAAATTTGATTCTATCTGATAGAGAGTGATGAAACTTAGTGTATAGTTGAATATCTTTTTGATTACTTGATACTTTTGAAAAAAATAAATGTGCTATTAATTAATATGTGCCATCTATTTATTTTTGGAATTCGTCAGGGGACATCAGCCTCACTGTTGGCTTGTTCATTCTATATTTGAAGCATATCTCAAAATCTTGCTTCCTTTCGATATTTCAGAATGGCCAAAAGATCATGGTTTGGAGGATTAATGGGTATGGAACAAGAGCACCATTTTATGATGGTTCGTGATAAAACATTTAGTCAAGTAAAAGCAGATTTGGTTCATGCATTCCTTTCTGTAAGTATTTATTTATAATTAAATTAGAAATTATAATAGCTACATCTGACATGATAGTATATATACTATTCAAAAAAAGTAGGGGATATTTGATTTTGGGGGCATAATACTAAAATATGCAAATGACTACGAAAAAAGTCACTATAGAACCTAACAGAAGAAACATTTCCAGTTACATGTGACGCCCAAACGCACCAATAGCTACCGCATGGAATGCAGGTGATGCTTGGGATCATCATGGGGGTCCAACCCAAGATTTGCACGACTCTGACTTTGAATGTTACAGTCATTGTGGCATTGAATTCCAGGGTGGAAACATCAGTTTAATTGTTTTAGTGACCAGAAAACAAATTTTGATATGCGTCGGCTTACCCAAAATGAAAGGTTACGTGCCCTTGGCATGCTACAGATCGGCACAACACAGGCGGTTGTGGCGCGGACGATGAATGTTTCTCAGTCTGTCATAAGCAGGCTATGGTCCAGATACCGTGATACACAATCTGTACAGGACAGACCACGCTCAGGTCGACCAAGGGCGACAACTCAAGCCCAGGATCGATTTATCCGTACCTTGGCCTTGAGAAATCGTGTCATCACAGCAAATCAGATCAGCGCTCGTCTTCAAACAGACACTGGTGTGAGAGTGAGTGGCCAGACGATTCGGAATCGACTACATAGGGGTCACCTTCGCGCCCGACGTCCTCGCGTGATCCCTTGTTTGAGAGATCATCACATTCAGGCAAGACGTCGTTGGTGTAGGGATCGTCAACACTGGGATAATCGACGCTGGAGCAATGTGATGTTTTCAGATGAGTCAAGGTTCACTGTTGATTTTTTGGACAGACGTAGGAGGGTGTGGCGTCGTCGAAACGAGCGCTTCCAAGACGTTAACGTCATCAGACATGATCGATTTGGGGGTGGTTCTGTTATGGTGTGGGGAGGCATCACTGTTGCTGGAAGAACGGCTTTACATGTTGTTGCAGGGCGTGTTACAGGCCAGTACTACCGGGACAACATCTTGGCAGTCCATGTTGTGCCGTTCGCACGACGTCATGGCCGCCGTTTCATCTTCCAGGATGACAACGCAAGATGTCACAGGGCCAGGATCGTTACAGGTTACCTCCAACAACAGAACATCACCACATTACCTTGGCCAGCACTGAGTCCCGACCTCTCCCCCATCGAGCATGTCTGGGACATGCTTGGACAGAGGTTACGTCAACGTCAACAACGTCCTGCCAATGTCCAAGAACTTGCTGCTGCGTTGCAACAGGAATGGGACAATCTGGACCAAAATGACCTTAGACGTCTCATTAGGAGTATGCCACGTCGGATCAATGCTTGTTTGGCAAACAGAGGAGGATTTACCCGTTACTGACTTGGTTGTGATGCTGTGGTAACTTTGCTGTTTGACCCCGGGTATCATTTTACCCTTATAATGGTCAGTCTGTGCCTTACTTAGTCTAACGATCATTTGGAATAAATCGATGAATGTGAACTTCATTTCATTTTGTCATTTGTTTCTTCGTCAGTTTCATTAGGTGACTTTAATAACACTTAAAAATCAAATATCCCCTACTTGTTTTGAATAGTATACATGAAACAAAAGTTTGTTTTAACAGCTGATTAGCTAAGGTGTATAAATGTGCTAGCCAATCAAATCCATCAATATATAGAACTATGGGGAATATCATACATTAGGCAGTGTCTCGATACAATTATTAGTGTTAGAGCTGCATTCATACAAAGGTATTTATAGGGTAGTTATTTGAAATAATAATATGTCATATTTGCTATGTATGGCAAGAAAACACAATCAATTTTACTCGAAAAATACTGGATTCTTTGAAAATGCACCACTGGGATAAAAAAAAAATGTAAGGCTGATAGCCTGCCTCCTTGAGTGACCAAGGCTAGCGGTTGTGAGAACGTTAAAATAATTAAACGTCCATTAGCCTCCATGATTAAACTGCGAGAAAAGCTGGTTGAGGATGATCCAGGACAAATACAAGCTGAAATGGAATTTCCCTCAATCTAGTTACGTTCCAAATATGTCAAATACTATGTTTTCGAGGGTGTAGAATCTTAATTTGCAGTGATTTCGAACAAAAATGAAACCACTTACAACATATTTATTATCACTGAGAAGTAGTAAAGGTGAGATTTGTATGTTTACAGTATAGTTTTCTCGGTTTTTAGTAAATTTCTACCAATATCGGTAAAATTCTAATTATCGCAACAAGTCTAATACGAAGAGGCTAAAATCTGTAGGTACGGTGTGTTAATTAACAGGGGTGAGAAATTGACTGAAAGGTGATATAATTATCGCTAGGTGTGAAAATCTCGGCGACGGTGCGTTTTCTGTACTGGTGTGTTAATTAACGAACGGGTTAAAAACAACTGACACGGTGTGTATACTTTGTTTGGTGAGTTTTCTCAAAAGCGTGTTATAACTGTAGCAAAGGTGATTTATCAAGGACCAGCAGGCTTTATCTGACGCGTAGGTGTTAAGTGCTTGTCCACAAGAAAACCATGCAAAATCGTGCAAAATCGGGAAGGTGATGGGTCGGCCGATTCCTTTCATATTCATATTGACAATTTTGATATTGGATCATCTGATATTTATATGTTCTAATCAATATAGTGACAAAATATGGATGTTAAACGACTCGATACCATCGGCAATTGACAGACTAGCGTTTCGAACCCGCTTAGGCAGTCGTAGAACCCGCTCTGTCAAAACTATCAGTTCTGGTATCCAGCCATCCAAGATGGTGGCTGCTGTATGTGGTTTTTCCATATTGTTCATACTGTATTAACAGGCCTTTAACACATAGATCATGCTATAACCCTATTCTAAACCTGTATCCATGATTTGTTTTACGTCAAGTTTTTAGATTTCGAAGCGCACACAATTAAGCAGAATTGGCAGTAAAAAAAAATAAAAAATTACTACGGCTTATTATGAAAATTGTTTCAAATAAAGCGACCGAAATAAAAAAAAAAGACACCAAAGTGATTTCCAAAGGTGATTGCATGCTTTTAGAATAGAACAAGCTAGGCGACACATGGAGCCGTGCCTAGTCCGTGCTTTCGATTTATACATGCAACGGATGCGGGACCGAGAGTTAGATTTCTTTACGTTTGACTAATTGTCCAAGAAGGGTCATCTAAGCTGTTGAAAGAAGGGAACCAAACATACCCTAATACGAATATATCGGGAAGATGTCATGTAAATCGGCGAAAAGCTTTTTTGTATGAAAATATGATTACAATATAACGGCTGCTTCGAAAACAGATTGGTTAATCTGATAACAATGGTGATTAGAATATATCGGATAATCAAATTGGGGTTGGTTATGATATCGGGAAATGACGGTACTGCGTGTGATCAATTTTAAGATACAAGCATTTATATAGTGTTAAGCACGATAATTTGTAAACTAATTAAACCCACAAAAAAGATCAAATATATAAATAACTGCAGTCCGACTATGGTACGAAGTACAAAACATGTAGTATTCATCAAGAAATGAAATACGTATAAGAAAGGATATATGTACCTATCCCACGTTTAAATCCATGTATAAAGACCTACACTTAACAAAGACCAATCTGCGTAAAACACACGGTCGAACAAAAAATCGCACAGTAAATTAGATTTAACACCTACGCGTCAGATAAAGCCTGCTGGTCCTTGATAAATCACCTTTGCTGCAGTTATAACACGCTTTCGAGAAAACTCACCAAACAAAGAATACACACCGTGTCAGTCGTTTTTAACCCGTTTGTTAATTAACACACCAGTACAGAAAACGCACCGTCGCCGAGATTTTCACCCCTAGCGATAATTATATCACCTTTCAGTCAATTTCTCGCCCCTGTTAATTAACACACCGTACCTACAGATTTTAGCCTCTTCGTATTAGATTTGTTGCGATAATTAGAATTTTACCGATATTGGTAGAAATTTACTAAAAACTGAGAAAACTATACTGTAAACGTACAAATCTCATCTTTACTACTTCTCAGTGTATGTGGTGAAATATTCATCAATTCCAATACGATTACATAATATCACAATTTGGCTAATTTAAGCTATCTCAGACTGAATTCAAACCATCTGCTTTATTACTGAGATTGCTTAGGTAGGCCTTCAGATTGGCCCCATAAACAAATGCTGGCAACTTTTTATGGTACTTTATTAAACGGAAAATGTCACTTTGTTTAGGTACTGATAAGCCTGTATCTCGAGCGTATCTTACTTGATATCAAGACGCTTTTGGTTGTCCTCCTTTGTGAAAGGACCACCCATTTTTATACGCCCACATGGAAATGTGGACGTATATTGCGTCTGTTCGTTGTCCACAATTTCTTGTGAACGCTCTAACATCAAAAGTGATCATCCAATTGTTTCAAAATTGATGTATGTTGTTTACATTAGTAAGATGAGGAAGCCTAGTTAATTTCAATAATTTCCGTTTATTACGTCTAGAGTTATGACCCTTGCATCACTTTATTGAACAGTGTGAATTAGCAGGGTTCAGCAGTGTGAGATGAGAAGAGCTTCGACAGAAAGGAACATCTGCCTCACTTCAGGTGACATAATGAGGAACAAGTGAAATAGATTTGGCCGAAAACTGGCGCTTGAAGAATGGCAATTCTTGTTCCAAGTCCCGATTCAGTTCCAGATACATAGAAACAAGCTCACCATCATACTGTGGATATATACCTGAAAATCTGTCCTGGAGATCAAAATCATGGGGGGGAAAGAGACCTATTGGGACACAATAACTCTCCTTCTAATTGAGCTTGAATGTTCAAACTTGGTGTAGGTATTTATTAGGTCAATGCCTTGATGGAGTTTGAAGATGAGCAGTTTCTGCTTAGGGTAAGCAGAGAAAAGCAATTTGATTGGTTGATGCTTTGGGACACGATAACTTAAGTTCTAATTAAGTGAGAGTGATGAAATTTGGTGTATAGTTTTATTACATCAACAC